GCTCTGGCCACCTGGAAAGGATACAGGCTTCCCCAACCAGGAGCCCACACAGGTTCCCCAAGAGAGAAGAGTGGGGCACAAACCACGCTGGGCAGAGCCCGAGCCACGGCACCAGCACCACAGGAACTTTGCACCCAAAAAGCAGAGTCCTCTTCATGCGTGAGCGGGTCGTGGAAACCCCCAGCATGGCAAAAGCCACTGGCATGAACCCCTTGGCATCTCCCACTTCCAGCAGCCTGGAGACAAGGGGCTCGAGGGACAGGTAGAGGAGGGCAGAGAGCACGGAGAAAGTGGCAGTGAGGATGCAGTGCTTCACTGTGCCCACGTTCTTCTCAAAGCTGCCAGCAAAGTACCAGATGATAACAGCACCACAGGCCAGGGAGATCAGGTCCTCATAGATGAAGATGTAGGTGATCAACCTGTGAACTGAGCACAGCAGCACCTCAGACAGGCACTGGGGTCACTATAAAACAATTACAGGGAGAGTGAGCCCACAGGATTAATTAATAGCTTTCATTGCTATCCTGGTGTAGAAGAGAAGGAACCTGAGGCTTTTAAAACCAGACATAAATAACCAGATAGAGTGAAAATGAGTGCTATCTTGGGTGTCACAAACATATGGGCTGGCTCTTGCTGCTTCCTGGGAAGCTGCCTGGAAAAAAGCAACAGCATCTGTAGTAAATTTCAGACTCATTAAAAGAGAAGGCAAGAGACATAAAAATAACTGTTACGGTACTGACAATTTTGGAAAAAAAGATAAACATTTCTTAAACTGCTGGCAGGCTGATTTTCATCACCAAAAATGTCTGGAGGTTATCACACCTCAGAAGTACTTCTGGGCTCTCTGTTGAGGTGTTCTCCTAGGCACACAGCAAGGATTGAGACAGACTTCTCCACCTCCCTCCCATCAACCTCAGTTCCACAGCCAGAAAAATACCAGTGAGAAACAAAACAAGGCAGTGCAACCCCTGGAGACACGTGAGGAGATGTGGAATCCACCTGTCCCCTCAGAGCCCTGCACTGAGCAAGAAAATCACTGCACAGGGGTAAGCTGGAACATGGGAATTAAGTGTGATAAAAATCATTCTGGGAATACCACAGGGACTGAGAAACACAAATCCCTCAAGCTCCCAGTAGTGTTATCCACTGGGCTGACTGTCAGAGGACAGAGATGAGGGTGTGGGGGAGCAGCCTGATGTCGAGGGACTGAAATGGGTGCCCAGCAGGCTCGGTGCAGGTCAGGGGAAGCGCAGGGAAAGCAGGAAGGGACACGGAGAGCGGGACAGGAGGGGAGCAGCAGACCCACAGGGGGGCTTGAGGAAATGCAGAGAAATGGGGGCTGGGGTGGGGAGGTACCACGGGGTCCAGGGCAGGACAAGGAGAAGGCTGGAGAGAGGGATGCAAAGGCTCTGCTGGGACTTAGGGAAGGCCGGAGAGTGGGGACACAAAGGCTCTGCTGGGATTTACAGAAAGCTGGAGAGAGGGGACACAAAGGCTCTGCTGGGATTTACAGAAGGCTGGAGAGAGGGGACACAAAGGCTCTGCTGGGATTTACAGAAGGCTGGAGAGAGGGAACACAAAGGCTCTGCTGGGATTTAGGGAAGGCTGGAGAGAGGGAACACAAAGGCTCTGCTGGGATTTAAGGAAGGCCGGAGAGAGGGGACACAAAGGCTCTCTTGGGATTTAGGGAAGGCCGGAGAGAGGGACACAAAGGCTCTGCTGGGATTTAGGGAAGGCTGGAGAGAGGGGACACAAAGGCTTTGCTGGGATTTAGGGAAGGCCGCAGAGAGGGGACACAAAGGCTCTGCTGGGATTTGGGGAAGGCGCGGATTGAGGCGGGCAGAGGAGCCAAGGAGGCAAGCAGCTTGCGCCCGCCGGCAGCCCCGCTCACCTTCCCCGTCGTGCAGGGCAGCGGGGCGCAGCGCGGCGGCGGGGACAGCCCGCAACAGCCCGGGCGCGGAGGCACCGAGCGAGAGCAGCACCGTGAGGGCGGCGGCGGCCGGCGGGGCTGAGGGCGCCGCCATTGCTGCCCCGCGCGCCCGCCGCTTCCGGGCGCCGCCGGAAGGCCTGGCCGTTACCATGGCAACGGGGGCGCTGTGGGGTCGTTGCCATGGACACGGGGGGGTTTCTTGCGCTCTCTCTCTGTCTCTCTCCACCCCCCTCCCCTTTTGAATTTTTATTTAATGATGGTTATCTATTCGCTGTTCAGAAGGGGGAAATATCCCAGAGAGAGGTGTGAGGTGTCGCAGGGAGCCCGGCTGCAGCCGGGTGTTCCAGCACTGGGTGCCCCAGGGTGTGGGAGGCCCATTCAGACCCCGAGCTGCGGGGTCTGGCTGCTGGGAAGCAGAGAATCAGTCAGGCTGGAAAAGACCTCTGGGGTCATCGAGTCCAACCCGTAACCGATGAGCAAAACCATGTCAATTAGAGCAGAGCACTGCGTGCCACATTCAGTGTTTCTGTAACCACCTCCAGGGATGGGGACTCCACCACTACCCTGGGCAGCCCCTTCCAATGTCTAATCACCCTTTCTGTGAAGGAATTCCTCCTCATGTTCAGCCTGAACCTGCTGTGACTAAATCCTCTCACCCTGTCCCTTGGAGCAGAGCCCAACCCCCCCAGCTACAACCTCCTGTAAGATAATAGCAGAGCACAAGATGGTCCCTCTGAGCCTCCTCTTCTCCAGGCTGAGCCCTCCCAGCTCCTTCAGCCATTCCTGGTGCTCCAGACCTTTCCCCAGGTCTGTTCCCTTCTCTGGACATGCTCCAGCCCCTCAATATCCTTCCTGAACTGAGGGCCCAGAATTGGACATGGGACTCGAAGGCTGAGGGTTTCCCTTTAGGTGGATGTGGAGAGTAATTCCCACCCCACAGCTGCTCCTGCCATGCTCATACCAAAACCTGTGGCAGGTTTGTATTGTCTGCTTTCAATTCCCCAGAATATTGGCTTAATTGTTTGGCCAGTTCTAGTCAGATCTAGGAGAGAAATCAGCACCTCAAAAATGAAGATACCAAACTTCTTGCAGGTCTTGTGGACATAAGGAGATGATGAAATGTGGAAAATAGTAAAGGTAAGTTGGCTGCTGCTGGCTGTATGTGAGCTTTTGCAATCTTATTGTATCAACCATGCAATGAGGCTGATGCTGCAATAAAAGCTCAAGGAATCCCCCAGCAATCTCGTCCTGTTTGTGGAAAAAACCTCCAAACACAATGAAGGAGGGAGAACTTAATCTGATTCCTTCAGGGTAAAACTTCCCTGTGATCATGACCATTGGCTAGCTTTACACACAGTGAGCACTAACCACAATTGCAGCTGGTCTTGAGCTTGTAGCTGGGGATATGATGTGGATATTGTAGTAGGAAAAGAGTATATTTGCACAAAATAAGAAAATTGTACATCCCATCTGGCTGTGTTCCTGTATCACCTGCTCCAGGTGACCCTGCCTTGGCAGGGGGGCTGCGCTGGCTGATCTGCAGAGGTCACTTCTAACCCCAAGTGATCCTGTGAACTCTGCTGTGTGCCCACACAGTCTGGCTGCTGGCTCACAGAATCCCAAGAGGGTTTGGATTGGAAGGGACCTAAAGGCCAACACCCTGTCAGGTCTCATTTATACACAGGATGGATCAGAAGAAACCCACCTGCCCACAGCACCTCTGATTTTGCAATGTGGAGAAGGATTTCAAACAGCTGGGATCATTTCCAAGCAAGGGGAAAGAGCAGAGGGTTGAAGGGCTGATGCTTCTCCCACAT